GAGAGAAACATAAAAAAGAAAACAAGGACAGATAAGGGGGGGGGGTATGATAAAATATAATGAGGAGAGACAGACAGTGAAAGATGAAGATATAGAGTAATAAGATATTTTACGCCGCTTATAGGACACGGTTTAGATTCTCCTCACTAAGGAATCGAGCTCGGGGGCTCTGTGTGGGGGACGACAAATCACCTAGGCGCATTGGAAATCCCGAAAATCCCACCAAAAACCAAAACTCCCTGTTAGGTGCTCATTCCACTACAGATTCCGGTTATAAAGGTTTGAACCATATACCCTATTCCTTGTTATTTACTCACTATATCGCTAAGGTCACTTAAGAAGGATTTGAACCCTATACACTGCCCCTTGTTAGTTTTTCAGTCTACCACAGAGGCCGGTTATAAAGGATTTGAACCATACGCTTTGCTTCTTCTTAGTTATTCACCCAACCATCGAGTCACCTAAGAAGGATTTGAACCATATACCCTGCTCCTTGTTAATAATTCACTCTACTATAGAGGCAAGTTATAAAGAATTTGAACAATAATAATATTATACTCTTCTCTTTGTTTGTTACTCGCCATACTGAGATCACTTATTATGAAGGATTTGAACCGTTTACATTGCTTCTGGTTAATGACTTAATATACCACTGAAGTCAGTTATAAAGGATTTGAACCATATACCATGTTTTTTAGCTACTCACTACAATACCGAGGTCATCTATGAAGGATTTGAACCCTATGCCCTGCTCCTAATTAGTTATTCACCATACCACCATACCACAGAGACTAGTTATAAAGGATTTGAATCTTACTACCCTGGTCCCTGTTAGTGATTCACTATACCACCGAAGTCACTTATGCCATGTTCCTACTTAGTTATTCACTGTACCACTGAGGTCACTAATAGGAGGTTTGAACCCTGTACTCTGCTCCATGTTAGTTATTCATTCATTACACCACAGGGTTCACTTTTTAAGGATTTGAACCATATACCCTGTTCCTTGTTAGTTACTCACTCTACCACTGTAACCACTTATGAGGATTTGAACCATATGCCCTGCTCCTAATTAGGTATTCACTCTACAACTGAGGTCACATATGAATGATTTGAACCCAATACCCTGTTCATTGTTAGTTATTCACTCTACCATTGTAATCACTCATGAAGATTTGAACAATATACCTTGCTCCATGTTAGTTATTCACTCTACCACTGAGGTCACATACGAAGGATTTGAACCCTATATCGTGCGTTTCACAGAGGAAGCAGGCTGAGCAAGAGCGACGTCTAGCGGAGGCGGAGTTAAAGAGAGTGTTACATCTGAAGCTACAGGGGGTCATGCCGGCTCATGACAAGACTAGGGATGGACAGAAGGAGCAGAAGCAGGTTGGTTGTTGCTATTTTTGTTTTGTTTTTTGCTGTTGTTTTTTTTCTTTTCGTTGTTTTTTCATTTTCTTTTTTGGTTGTTGTTGTTGTTGTTGTGATGGTGGTGGAGGTGGTGGGGATTGCTGTTGTTGTTGTTGTTGTTGTTGTTGTTTTTGCTGCTGTTGTTGCTGTTGTTGTTGTTGTTGTTGTTGTTGTT